CATAAGCCCAGGTGAGCCCTTCTTCCATCAAGTCTCTGCTCCCCTTGCCTGGCCCACAAAGACAGCCAGGTGTGTGCTCTGGCAACTCACGTCTCTCTGGGCCTCAGTTTCCCCACGGGCAACCTGGGTGTGAGGTTGCCCAAGGGTCTCTGGCTCTATCTCCACCCACCACCCACCCCAGGAGGCGTTCCTCGGGCTAGGGCTAACCCTCTGTCCTCTCCAGCCCACCACACCCTGCCTGGGCTGTCCCCTGATGTCACCAAGGCCATGCCCTGTCCTGTTTATCTTTCTAGTCAAACAAGGCCACACAGAACACTGTAGACTTCCTGGGAAGAACCCCCACCCCCCATGTCAGTTCTGGGGACATGGGCTTCCGGCTGGTTTTCTGAAACAAACAAACAAACAAACAAACAAACAAACAAACAAACAAACAAACCCTACATGGCTGCTTTTCTAGAAGACTCCAGGTCTATATTCCTCTAGGGAAACCCCCATCCTTTTCCAAATCCCCAGAGAGTCTTTCCTTTGTGGTGGGAGATGTTGGGATGCAAGCTGGCCCCAGCCAGAGGGGGAGGACGAACTTCTGTGGTGGCACCTCCTGGTCCCTCTGAAATCTACATCTCCTCCCACCTTCTCGTCACTTCCTGCCCTTGACTTCAGCATCACCACCTCCTAGATCACCTGCATCAGGACCCTCCAACCAACCAGTGGCCACTGAGCCTGCCCTACCTCAGGGCAACCCCGCCCATGCGTCCAAGGAGAACTGTGGCAGGGCCTGGGGTGGCAGAGGGGCTCTGCGGGTGAAAGGGTTAAGCGCTGGGCTGTCAAGGCCCATAGTTCAAATCCACTCTGAGGGAGGATGAGAGGAGGCTGTCTGTCCCCAGAAAGAGTCACAGTCTGGCAAACCGAAAGGAGCAGTTCGACTCCGTCCTACTTAGTGGTTGTGAGTCAGAATCGACTCGATGGCAGTGGGTTTTTATTATGAGTATTTTGAGTTCAGGGTGGGCATTCAAAGTGTATCAGACACACCTGCTGGGGAGTGCTTACAGCCAGGACCCCCTGCTGTCAACGAGCTGGCGTGCTAGCAGGGGCGAGGGAACTGGGCAATCAGCAATGAACGAATGAAGTCCATCTCATAGTATGTTGGGCCCGAACAGGGAACATATGCGGCTCTCGGGTGAACGCACCAGCTCCCAGGGGAATCCAACCCGGATGCTCCTTAGAAGGGGAGACTTTGGCTCGCTTCCTTGGGATAGAGCAGCAGGAAAGAGCTGTCACTGGAAACAAGCCTTCCTCCCAGTTGGTCACACCGAGGGTCAGCGCCAACCGGGGGTGCCCTCCTCGAGACAGAGTGGTACAAGGGGCGCCACAACGGAATCACACACGCCAGCGAGCGTCTTGGTGCCTCGTAACCTTTCTCTCTTGTTGCATGTAAGGCCAACTCGAACCCAACTCAGTGGCCACCCCTGAACAGTGTCCCTGAATCCAGAAGAGCCGGTGCAAAGGCCCTGTGGCAGGAAGATCAGCAAGGAGACTTTGGGGGTTTGGGGAGGAGAAGGAGAGTCAGGGGAGTGGAGGGGTCGAGGAGCAGGGCGGTCATAGTAAGACCTTTGGGCGATAGGAAGCGAGTGTGGAATTTGAAGAGGAAGGGCAGGAGCTAATCTGGTCAAGGGGGCAGGTACAGACGCAGGGCACCAGCTGGGAGGCTGCTGCAGGAAGCCAGACCAGGTATGGTGGCGGCTTGGACCAGAGCAGCTGCTGACACAGTGGTGCTTGGGTTCTGGGTCTCTCTGGAGGGCAGGGTCAAGCGGATTTCCTAATGGATTGAATGTGGGTTGTGAGGAACAGGGAGGAGGTGAGAGGCGGCCTCCAAGGACTTGGCCAAGGAGCAGTGCAAGGATAGAATGACCCTCCTTTGAAAGGGGGCATTGATGTCAGAGCGGCAGCGTTTTGAGTCTCACCCAGCCCTCCGAGGGAGCCTTTTAAGGAGCCCTGGAGACACGGCGGTTAAGCACTCAGCTGCCACCCGAAAGGTCAACACTCTGACCTCCCACCGGTCCTCGGGAGACAGACACAGCCCTCGGCTTCCTCAAAGGTTGCTCTTCCCTTTGCTGCTAGGTGCTGTTGGCTGGGCTCCCACTCATTGAGGCCCCTCCTTACGGTTGTGAGAGGGGCCGGCGCCCTCCACCTTGAGGGTCTTGCTGAGCAGTAGTTGGTTTTCCTGTTGGAGACGCCCCTGTCCATGAGACTTGAATCCCACCGGCAGACTGTGCATTTCTTGGTGCTCCGTGGGCCTCTGGAGGCCTACACGCTGTTGTAAGAGTGACTACCCCCCCCTACACACACACACACACGCACCCTCCTTAAGAACCAATCTGTGCCCCCTTGGGGGAGCTGGCTTCCCGCTAGAGATGGGACGTGCTGGAGCAAGTTGCGATGGGGTCAACGAAGACGTCAGATCTTCCTTTTGCTCACGTGGGACCTGAGCCGTCTGTTGGATGGAGAGGGCATGGGGCAGACCGTTGGGCGTTTGAGGGCTCGGCCGGTGGCGTGAATCTGGGAGTCATTGAGGGATGTCGTGAGTCATGGCAGAGTTGGCTTCCCCTCGCGTGCAGCAGAATGACGCGCTGTGCCGTGCGCCCTCACCATCACCATCGTCACGAGGGCTGGGCTCTGTGAGCTCGTTCTTGAGATCACTGGTCCATGACTTGACCTGGATGGGTCTTATGAGACCCGATTGGGCTTCCCTGGTGGGGGTGACCAGTCTTTGTTCCTGAGGAGCCTGCTGGGGGCGTCCCTTTCTGGTGTCCAGAGCTCTGAGGCTGGGTGAGGTGGCAGGGGGTGAGCGGAGATGGAGCAGGTGTAAAGATGGAACTTGAGTGCCTCACGTGGGGTGGCCTGGGGGGACGCGAAGAACCGGCCAAGGAGGTGGGAAGGCATGTTCAGAGAGGTAGGAGGAAGCCGAGGAGCAGCCGGCGTTAACATGGACACCGGCGTCAGACACCGAGACGGAGAACTGGCTGGCCGCTGCTAGGAAGTCTCCAGGGACCTCACCAGGAGCGCCTCTGGAGGGGCCAAAGCCAAACCGAACTCCCTGCTGAGGAGTCCATGCAAACTCCTCAGGACCCTTTGGGCAGGGTAGATCTGCCCCCCAGCCCCCCCGAGTTTCTGAGACTGTCACTCTTTACGGGAGGAGAGAGCCTCTCTCCCTCAGAACAGCGGGTGGTTTCGAACTGCTGACCTTGTGGTTAGTAGGCCATTGAGTAACCCACTAGGCTACCAGAGCTCATTCTGGAGAAGCAGTGGGGACCAGTCAGATCGGAGTGGAATTAAGCAAGAGCAGGAGAGGAACAGAAGATAATGGGGGGAAGACACGTCGGAGAGGCGTTTGCAGAGACCCCTGGGTGGCACCCACAGTGAAGCACTCCACCAAGAACCAAAGACTGGCTGTTGGGACCCCCCAACACAGCACTGCAGAAGAAAGGCCTGGCAAGGTCCCGCAGGCCTCTGGAGTACAGGTCTCCTCACCCACCACGTATGAGGTCGGCCTGAGTCAGGGTGCCAGACGAGGGGGCTTGCAACCGGAGCAGCAACAACCAGGTTAGTGCATGGTGGGTGTGGTCCAGGGCAGAACTGTCAGGGCAGGAGAGAGAGAGGAGACAGGGGGCGGGGCTGTGGGAGGGCCTCTCTCGTGGGAGATGGGGGGTGGGGGCCGGCACTGTGGTGGGTACAGATGCTGGGGGTGACTGGGCTGGATGTTCTCAGAATCGGGGTCACCGTTGAGAGTGAGAGTGAGGGGAGACCTGGGTGGGGAGCCTGAGAGTCACTCATGAGCTCCCCCCTGAAGGGCCTGCCCCACCCAGGCCCCTGCCAGCCCTCCCAGCCCTCCCACCTCCACCGGCCCAGCCCACCCACCTTCCCTAGGCTTCCTCCAGCGGAGCATGCCAGCTCCCTGCAGCCTGCCAGCATTTCCTTACCCCAGCCCCCCTCCCAGCTTAGACAAGCAGTTGAACCCCTCCCGGCCTGTTTTCTGGTCAGTAAATTAGGAAGCCCAGCTTTGCCTCTTTGGCCCCCTTGCCTCACATGGAGGAGGGTTTAATCAATGAAGAGTGAGGCAGTGGGTGTGGGGAGGGGAGTTGCCATTAGTCCCAGCCTGCCCCTGAGTGGGGAGGAGAGAGGAGTGTCAGCGCCCTGCCCAAACCCAGGGCCCAGCACCCACTGCTTGAACTGGGTGGCAGGGGAGCGGGCCCAGGAGCTGCAGTAGCTGCCTCTGGGCGAAGACCCAGCTGCTGAGCCACCCACAGCCCCTAACCCAGCCCAGGGACCTGGCCACCCTGGCCACTGGGGAGGCAGAGCCCATCTGTGCAGGGCAGAGTAAGGCTGGGGCCAGTGCTTCTTGGGGACTCCACCCTGAGCCTCCGACCCTTCCTGTTTTTCCGCCCTGGCCCTGAGGCTGTTTCCTCCCAGGGGTCAGGACAAACACCACTTTCTCCCCTGAGCCCAGGTCTTAGTGGATAAGCACACCCCTGATCCCAGGCTTCCTGAACCTTCTAGAAATGACCTGCTGCCGGCCCTGCACCGACCTGGTGCTGTGATGGGGCTTTGTTAAGGGCGTGTCCAGTGTGTGTGTATGGGAGGGAGTAGGAGGGGGGATGGGTCAATATGACTTTTGCATGTCTCCAGTTGGAGCCAGGACAGAATAGGCCCCCTACCGAGAGTCAGCTGCTCTCCACAATGACCTTGGGCCTCAAATGCCCCCCTCCGTCTCCCTTCCCCTCCCCAAACTTAGAGGTAGCTACAGGCCTCTGCACTGAGAGCTAATGGGCCAGAGTAGGCTCTCTAGACTGTTAGGCCATCCACAATGTTCCGGAAGGTTCCCAAGTGCCCTGCTGCCTGGATGGTTGGGCAGAGGACGGAGCTGCTAAGTGCCAAGTAGTGGTGAGGCCGGGTGGGGTGGGGGCACCTGAAGTGCTCAGCCAGGCCACAGACTTGTCCCTCACCCCCTTAATGAGCCGGCCAGTCGCCACCACCAGCTCTGCTCGCAGACCCTGGTGGGTGCTGGTGCCTGCACTGACGCCAGGCTGCCCGGAGAAGGCCTGTGATCTGCAGGCACAGCACAGGCTCCTGGGAGCTGGCAGGACAGGCCACTGCCCCGTCCCACCTCCCGTGCCCAGCTCAGCATCCTTGGAACTCCCCATGACCCCCCTACCCCAGAGGGAAGGGGCTGTGTCCTCTGGCAGGACTGGGGCACAGGTGCAAGAATCATCTTCAGTTTGGGGGGAGCTTCGTGCATCACCTCCTCGTTCTGTGTGTGTGGAGGGGGGACAAACAGAGAGGGTGTGGGACTTGCCTAAGGACACGTAGCCATCTTTTCTCCCTAGCAGCCTGATTGTACTTCTTCCCGCCAGAGACTTGGGAATAAGAAAAGAGACCCCTTTTGGCACTCACCAGAGTGCCAAACCAGAGTGATGTTAACTGTTGGACTTTACTGGGGGCCTATCAGGTGCCTTGGAAGAAAGGCCTGGTCATCTACTTCCGAGAAACCGACTGTGGCAGTTACATCATCTGGGGTCAACTTGCGAAGGGGTGGAGTCTAGCCTGTCAGTCAGGTCGCAGCCTGATGGCCTCATTTTAGGCGTGAGGGAGATAAATAACTCATTGAAGGTCAGATACACTCTCTGCTTCATCTTCCTGCTGACAAGCCACATGGAGCGATGCTGATTACAGCCAGAGCCCTGGAGCTGGAGGAGCCCCATGGAGACCCACGCCAGGGCTGAGCTGCTTCCACCGCCACTAGATCCACAAGACTTTCCACCCACTGGCCTGTGATCTTCCTGCATTTGGCATCATTGCATGTGTTACGTGAGTCTAAAGAGGAATTTATGGACTAGTATCGACTGACGGGGTAATATCGGACTTGATCTGGACTGGGCTGAGATGTTTTCTTAATGTACAATTGCTCTCTGATATAAAGTCCTCTCTTATAGGCATATGCGTGTCTATTAATTTGTTTCTCTAGCCTATCCGGACGAACACACCAGCACCGAGCGCCCTTACACTCCAACACAGGTGATGTCTTCCTTCCTGCCTCGGGATCAACGTGATGATAACTGGCTTGATGACTGTCAGGCAGGAGAACATTTGGTGACCGTAGCACCCTCTGTGGTAGGGTCTTCTTCTCCATGTGTTTCAGGTGGAGAAACTTTGTTTAAAAAAGGGAAGAAAAAAAAAGGACCACCGCTATCAATGCAGTGTGATGGATCGAACTGCCGCTGTAGGCCCCGAGGCTGTAATGCTTGATGGGAGCGGAGAGTTGCATCTGCTTCCTGGAAGCAGCTGGTGGTTTCGAACTGCTGACTCTGGGGTCTGCAGCCCAACGCGTACATAAGCCAGCACACTTACCAGGGAGGTGAAAGGACTAGCGAGTGAAAGGAGGGCCTGTCAGCAGGGAGTGCCAGGGAGCAGGGCCACCTGCATGGGCCACCCTCTGCAGTCTGGGCTTGGGAGGACCTTGCCTGCTCTGGTCTCAGTTCCCTCATCCCTTGGCGATCCAGAAAGTTCCTTCCAGCATTTCTGCACTTCTGGGAATGTCCAAAGACCTAGGAGCCTGCTTCCCCAAGGATCCAAGTAGGAAGTCTACCTCTACCCTGCACCCTGGCGAGAGGCTGGTGGGTGGGCCCGCCTGCCTGGCACAGCCTTGGTGGTGCAGGGGAGAAAGAGGAGCAGCTTGAGAGAGGCAGGCTTGGAGCCTGGCCCTGCTGCCACCTGGCTCACTTAGCAGTTGTCCTCAAAGCTACCTGCCTTTCCTTTCCTACCATCGGTCCAGCCTGGGCCTGGACTCCGGAACCCTGAATTCTAGTCTTGACTCTGAATCCTCTAGCTTGCTCCATAACCTTGATGAAGTGCCCGCCCCCCCAGCGCCTCAGATTGCACATTTATTGGACAAGACCCTCCCACCACTGCCAACCAGATCTCATCTGATCCCACCAGCTTGCTGAGCTCTTGGTGGGGGGGGTGGTGGTGGGAGGGATGAGGGGCTGGAAGGCAGTCCTTTCTGGGAATTAAGCCAGGCTCAGCAGGTCCAGTGCGCCTGGACTCTACCCCTGCCCAGTCCCCACTGTCCCTGCTACGCTCGCTTCCACCCATATTGACCCCACCCTGGCTCCCACTCTCTCTTTGCCAACCAGGATGGGATGGAGGGCTGTGTCAATGTGGGTCCAGGGGACCCTATCTCACCCCCCTGCTCCTCCTGACCAGTCCCACCTGTCTGAGGCCCCCACGGAGGAGACGGAAGCGGGGGGCAGGGAAACTGGGAGAGGGTGTCAGGTAGGGCTGGGTGTCGGCAAGGACTCTTCAGAGACGTGCTCAGCTGGAAAGGCGTTTCTCTGCACGCCCGCCTGCCTGCCTGCCTGTTAGGTGGTGGGAGGACCAGCTCTCTCTTTTCTTTTTTTATCACCATCCAAACGGGGCTGGAAGGGAGAGGGCCGCAGAGAGCCTGCTGCATGGGTGGGGTATGAGACCTGGGCTCAGCCTCTATACCCCAGCCCCCAGTGTTGCCATGCTCCACCCCCTGCAGACCCAGACCTGGAAGGGGAAAGGCTGAGTGTGCCCTCCCCTGTCTGGCCTCTCACAGGATGAGCCAGGGGGCCTGAGCACCCCTTCTCCAGATGTCAGGTGACAGACGGAGCTTGGAGTGGAGCAAAGACCACGGAACAGAGGGGCCTTCAGCAGGTGGCTGACATCCCGGGGCTCCCGGGACTGCAGGCGAGGATGGGGTGAGGACAGCTCTCTCTCAGGGGAGAAACTGCATCCTCTGTTACTAGAGGTGCAGGCTCCCCGAGGGCAGTGTTGATCCGGTATTGAAGAGCCACGTCCAGGTGAGAGCTGAGAGGACGGGTGGCACATGCCAGGGAACACAGCAGTCACAGTTCTGTGTGCCCACTGCCCAGCTCCCCCACCTGCCCACCTGCCTCCAGCTCTGGGCACGGAGCACAGGGGAAAGTGATAATCAAAGCTTATCAAATGGCATGTAGGAGGCAGCCACTGATTCCAGCGGCAAGCAATCTATGTCTAATGTCCACTTAGCAGATCGCATGCCTCCGAAATGCCAGTGCCTGCGGTCTGACCCTGCAGCGGCCCGGGCAGCTGGAGCCCAGGAAATGGATCACTTACCAGCCACGGAGCCCGAGCTGGCGCTGCCAGGTAGGGGGATCGGGGAGCAGCCTGAGTTTGCAGGCCCAGCCTCGGCCGCCCCTCCTGGGGCTCTAGCTGGCTGTTCCCCTTTTCTGAGCCCTGCCAGACTGCTCAGAGGGTGGGAGACAGAGGTGGTCTGAGTCTGGGAATGCTCCCTGAGACCTCAGGGTCTGCTTGTCACCCACAGGCCCCGTTGCTGAGGGGCAGAAGCCAGGGGGTCCAGCCCCCATCCAGCCATCTGGTCCAAGACCCTGGGAAGGAGGCCCCCTGTGAAGGCTGGGGTCAGCAGGTGCTCTGTGAGTGCCCTCGGGCCGGTCCTCAGCTCTCTGCTAGCCTCTGCATCCTTCTCTCTCAGGGTCTGTCCACGTGATGGGTCTCTCAGGCTGCCCCCAGTAAGCACTTTAGAGTCATGCCCCTGGGTGCCTTCTGCCTTCATCCGGTCCATTTCAGCTATCGGGTCCTGTGAGTGGGAGCCAGCAAAACCCACTCAAATAAGGCCGCCGGGTCTTTTCTCCCGCTTCCAACTGCCACCACGGATCCACTGCGGAGCGCTTAACTGTCGTCGAGCCCTGGGGCTTCTGTCACATATCCAAACTCATCACCATTGAGCGGATGCTGACTCATTTCAACCCCCCGGAACAGGGTAGAACGGGCCTGGGTGGGTTTCCAAGACTGTAACTCTGTGGGCGTAGAAAGCCTCCTCTTTCTCCCTTGGAGAGGCTGGTGGTGTCTAACTGCCGACCTTATGGGTAACGGCTCAACGTGTAACCATTGCTCTGCCAGGCCTCCTAGGAAGTGCTCAATAAAGAGCCATAGGGTTCTTTCTACCCCATGAAGAGTTACAGCTTCCGAAACCCACAGGGCCAGTTCTACCCTGTCCTGTAGGATCGCTGGGAGTTGGAGTTACTGGATTGGCAGTGAATTTGGTTTCTTGGAGGTTGCCCAGCCAGAGATCCTCCTCCCTCCCCACCCCCACTCCCACCCCCAACACACACACATTGCCCGGGTCCCGCCCCCAAACCCCCACCCCAGGCAGGGCTACAGACTTCTGGGCTCGTGCCGGCATCCAAATCTGGAAGCCTCTCCCTGTTTCTGTTCCACCTTCTCCTTTCCCCCTTGGGTGCGTGGGAGCCATGGCTGCTTTTAGATCCCCCCAGCATGGCTAGGCCGGGTGCCAGGCCTCAGTGGTACAGCCAGTGCTTGGGGAGTTGTTTACAGCCAGTGGTGACTCACTACAACAGGCCCGAGTAGAGCAGGCTGGCCCAGGTGGAGCCTGGGGCGTGGAGGATGAGGTCAGGCCATGGCCTCAGACACCCCCTGGGGGTCTTCTGGGATAGCCTGGTTGGAAAGAACCCCTAGGGGGTCTTCTGGGATAGCCTGGCTGGGCATGGGCTGGGGGTGGGGTCCAAGGTGGGTCAGGGCTAGAGGATGGGACTCAGTCATGGGCGCCCCCTCCCCAGAGCCATGCTCCAGGTGCTCTGGTGAGCAGGGGAGAGGGGGGAGGGGGCCCTGCAATGACTCAGCCCAGCCCCTGACCTCCAGGAGCCCAGGAGCAGAGTGGGTATTACCAGCCCTACGAAGCTATAATAGACACAGCTTGGGGTGGGTTGTAAAAGGGGAGGGCGTGTGCTTGGGTCAGAGGTAGGAGTTGTACCCAAAGGTTTCCATGGGGAGCGTCTGCATCCGCGGCCTCTGGCAGCGAGGTCCTAGTGTCAGGGTAGACTGGACAAACAGGGCCGTCTGTTTAGGCAAGGAGGGGAGCAGGGAGCAGTGAGGATACTGCCAGCCAATGAGAGTCTCCCCAGGCCCTGTGTTTGCCCTGGAATAAGGGAGTCAGATGTGTCAACAGTGGGGAGGGAGGTGGCCCTCCGCACGCTGCACACACATGGGCTGTCCCCAGAGCAAGTCCT